CATCTTCAGTGGTACATAAGCTTGGTATGGAGCTGGCTGATGAAGAACTTTGGTCTTCCTCAGGCTGATGGTGAGTCCAAAGAGTCGTGCTGCAGTAGCAAAGCAAGTGGTTATATGCTGCAGATTGTGTCGGGTGTGGGCCACCAGGGCACAATTATCTGCAAACAGAAGTTCATGAGTGAGCTGTTGTGAGGTCTTTGTGTAGGCCTGTAGTCGTCTGAGGTTGAAGAGATTTCCATCTGCCCAGAAGTGGATGTAGACACTTTTCTCACCTTCCCCAAGATTGTCCGATACTTGCTGCAGCAACATGGTAAAGAAAATGGTGAACAGGGGAGGGGCGAGTACACAGCCTTGCTTAACTCCACTGGAGATCAGGAAAGGACCCGAGAGGCTGTTGTTGTACTTGACTTGTCCACAATGACTGTCATGGAGTTGCCTGAGCAGGGTGAGGAACTTAGGTGGGCATCCAAGCTTCGCGAGAATCTTCCAGAGGCCATCTTGGCTTACTGTGTCAAATGCAGTCCCTTGTTTTGCTCCTGGCACTTTTCCTGTATTTGTCTGAGTACAAATACCATATCTGTCATGCTTCTGCTAGCTCTGAAGCCACATTGGCTCTCTCTCTTCTGCTATGACAGGCACCAGCCGGTTGAGGAGGATTCTAGCTAGAATCTTCCCAGCGATGGACACAAGGGTAATCCCTTGATAGTTGGAACAGTATAACTTGTTGCCCTTATTCTTATATAGGATGATTACAGCATCATGCAGATCCTGTGGCTCCCAGCAGGCTACGAAGAGTTCATGGAGCTTGGAGTGTAGAGCAGGGCCACTGTATTTCAGGGCTTTGGGTGGAATTCCATCAGTTCCAGGGGCGTTGTTGCTTTTTATCTGGTTCATAGAATTATAGAATCATAGAAGTCGGGTCGGAAGGGACCTGGCAGATCTTCAAGTCCGACCCCCCACCTGGGCGGGAGAAAAGACTGGACTCAAATGAGTCGAGCCAGGTAGTCATCAAGCCTCTTCTTAAAGATCCCCAGGGTAGGAGCCAGCACCACTTCCCTAGGAAGTTGGTTCCAGCTCCTAGCCGCCCTAACTGTGAAGTAGTTCTTGCGGATGTCTAATCTAAATCTACTCTCTAATAATTTGTGTCCATTGTTCCTTGTCATGCCAGGTGGTTGCTAGAGGTGAAGGTTTCTTCCAGTGTAGGGCACTCATTTAGTTTCTCCTTTACAGACAGTTGCTTAAGTCAGTTGATGACAGACTCATGTACTGCGTGTTCAGTGCTAAAGAGAGTTTGAAAGTACTCAGACCATCAGTCCATGACAGAGTCTTTGTCAATGTATAAAGTCCAGCCATCAGAGCTCCTCACTGGGCTCTGGATCAGGAAGGTGAGGGCATAGGCAGTTTTAAGTGCTTTGTAGAAGCTTCTGGTGTCTCCACTGTCAGCATACAATTGCGTTCTTTCTGCAAGAGTATTTCACCATACATTTTTCACGTCACGCAATTTCCGTTGAAGGGTGTTACATGCCTGGTGGTAAGTCACCTTTCTCTCTTGGTTAGTAGTTGGCTGTGCTAGAAGGGCTTGATGAGTAGTCCTTTTTTTTGTGAGCAGGGCTTGGATGTCTTTGTCATTTTCATGACACCAGTGCTGGTTTCTCTTGGTACTGAGCCCAGTCTCCTTGGTGGTCTCCAAGACTACTGACTTGATGTGTTCCTAGAGTCCACTGGGTAGGGGTCTGCAGTGTGGATTGCACTGTCAAGCTTCTACTGAAGTGTTTTTTGAAATTGTTGTTGGCAGGATTGGTTTTACAGCTTGGAAACGTCAAATTTGGGGAGGGGAGGGTTGCCACTGTGCTTGGGCTGAGGCTTGAAGTGGAAGGACAACTTTGAGCGATTCAGTCAGTGATCAGTATGGCAGTCAGCACTGGGCATAACTTTGGTGTGCAGGACATCCCCAAGATCACACTGATATACCAAGATGCAAGCTATCAGGTGCCAATGTCTGGAGCAGGGATGCATCCAAGTGATCTTGTAGAGGTTTCTCTGCTGAAACTGGGTGTTGGTTATTGCCATTTGTGTTTCTGCACAGAGTTCCAGAAGCAAATGTCCATTGTCATTACAATTTCCCAATCCATATCTTCCAAGCACACCTTTCCATGCTAGATAGTCACCACCAACTCTTGCATTAAAATCGCCCATGATGTTGATCGTATCTTTGGGTGGTGTTTTCTGGATGAGATTGCGGAGGTCAGTATAGAACTTAAGTATGTCAACTGGGGAGCACTGGGTTGAAGTATACACACTAATCATGGTGGCATGCTGTTGGACATGCAAAGGAAGGCGTAGGGACATGATAAGATTGGAAAGGCTGATTGGTAAGCTTTGTACCCTGGAAGCAATGGAGTTCTTTATCATGAAGCCAACACCTGAGAGGCACCTCTCTACCTGCAAATTACCTGAGCAGTAGAGGGTGTAACCAGTACTGTCTTCTATTAGGCTTCCTGGTTCTGGGAGGTGCACCCCACTCAGGGCTGCTATGTTGATAAATAGCCTAGCTGGCTCATGGGCAACCAAGGCTGAGCACTTCTGAGGGTGGCTACTATCTTCAGAGTCCAGAATTGTATGGATATTCCAACATCCAAGGTGCTGAGGTTTTCTTTTTTCTCCACCTTTTGAGATGGGGGTTAGAGTTTTCCATTTCCTTTTTGTTGTAGTTCAGCTTCTTTGAAGATGTCTGCCGACTGCGGTGAGCCATCTGGGTGGTAGGGAGATTAGCGTTTCTTTAGGCCACCTTTTCTAGGCCCTCCTATTTCGGAGCAAGCAGTGCTATCATTCAAAAGGCTGCTTGGATGCTCAGGGTGCTGCCTGGTGATGACATCATTTCTGGGTCATCATCTGAATGACCCGTACTCCTAAGCTGCCTGCATGTAGGATTGGGACTGCAGCTTCCAGTGTCATCTTACACCTGCTGTTTTTGCCCCACTCCTGGTGCTGTAGGACTTGAGAGACTTGTTACCTTCCTGCCGGCGCGTGAAACTTTAATGTGGAGTACAGTTTGCACTGACTGTCCCCACTCTTTAGGCCAGAAACTCATGTGCTGTGGCTTAGTGAGCTAGGACAGCAGCAGAGAGGTCTCCAGGTTATAGATTTAGTTTTGCAGTATCCTTTACTTAGGTGGATTGCTGAACCAGGGCTAAAGTGTTCCACCTACCCTAGTTATTTGGGTTGGGTCACTATTTGTCTGGAACCTCACCTTTGACCTTATTGCCATGAAAGACCCTACCTGGAAAAATTTCCAGATGGCACTGCTCTCAGGATCATTGGGACACACAAGCCTCTCCACCATGACAAGGCTGCGATCCAGAGACAGGCTTGTCAGGTAGTTGCTAAGTAAATGCTCTTCTCTCCCACACAGAAGTAGGTTTCCCCATATTTACACCAACCTTAGGCTACTGTGATAAAATGATAGCTCTGAGTGGGAAAGGAATGTATGTTCATCCAGAAACACCACTTGCTGCAGACAGCTCTTGTGTAATTCCTTCTGAAATCCTACACAGCACAAGTGAAGTTCTAAGCAATGCAAATTACTACATTAATTCCTATTCATCCCAGAACCACACCCTGACTTCATTTATCCTCCTCAGTATAAGCGATTAAAGCTAGATTATGATTTGACAGTTTGTGAATTAAAATACTCTGAAACTTTGTTGGTATGTATTTCAGGAGCCAGTGGGGCACATTATAAAGGAGGGATCGGCTAGTGTTACAGCCAATTCAGTCTGATTTGGGAGCCCTAGGTTCTAGTCCAGACTCTGCTACAGACTTCCTCTGTTTCCTTGGGCAAGTCACCTCATTTCTCTGTATCGCTATCCCCACCCTGTTGGAATACCCAGTTTAATGCTTTTGGGGTTTCTCTGTATTGTAGAAGTAATACAAGTAGCAGGATGCCTTGAGAATGCAATTGGTATTTTTATCTCATATCAAATCTTAATCAATAAATCAATCAGTTAAATGAGAACAGAAATGACCTTAGAGGTGGGAATAAAGTCAGGTCCATGCATCCTTGGATACTAGTTCAATACAATAATGATGGCTACCAGTGAAGGGGTAACGTAAGAGATTCCCTCACCAGGAAACCGGAGATAGCTTGTGGGGCAGTGAGTAGGATTTTTGATCTGTGTGCTACACTTGAGAAAAACAGAACTTGGAGAATATCGGGATGGCTAAGTAACTTTAGGAACTTTTTTTCCCTGGGTTGGATCATACTCTCTCCTATTGGGGTAACGTTGTCTATGAAATCAGGTTCTCCTTTCAACAAGTCTCAAGTCCAAGGTGGACCAGTACATCCAACTTGCCAGTGCCAATTCTCCCTGATGCCTGGCTTCAGGGCTGAATACAGCCAAAGTTGCCTGGTCACAACATGGAAAAGCTGCCTGCCTGACAAAGTCCCTCAGTTGGATCCAGCCTGCAGGCCATACTCCTGGCTTATACCAAAGTATTTCAGGTCTTTTCACTATTCGAAGGTGAATTACATGAAATATCTCCTATCATGGGTGACTTTTATGTATCTATATATCTATATCTATATCTATATATCTATATCTATATAGATATAGATATATATATAAAACCTTATGAAGGATGGAGTAAAGTTTAAATGCAATAATAACAGGTCAAGAGCTCTTTGATGCACTAGCTCTAATGATTTCTTCCCTGTATATAATCTAAGGCACTGTTTTTCTCTCTTATTATTGCAAAGGTTTCATTACAAGAGAAAGCTGATGACTCATAAGTCATTACCGCTAATGTATAGTTGAAGTATGGTGCTGACATGTGAAGCATCTTCCTTGTGTACTGGGATTTCTGGAGGGAAATTGCCTTTGGGAAATTATTCTTGGCAGAAATAGCAAGACTAGCTAGGCCCATGAGGATAAACACCCTCCTAGTGACACCCAGTGTGCAAGGTATAAATAGAGAACTGTGGGGATGGGAAATCTGCAGTCTGATTCCCATCTAGCTGTGCCTCTTGCTATTGGGTTTGGGTTTGGGCTGGATTATTACTTGCTGTGACAATGAGTTCTGGAGTCAAGCAGGCATTTACTGTCTCCAGTTCAGCAAAGAGCAGTGGTGGTAGCTGTATCAGTGGTGGGGGAGGTGGTGGACCAAGGATGTCAATGATGTTTGGAAGATGCGTCTCTGGTGGGATAGGCAGCAGTAAAGGGTTTTCTTCCAGGAGTTACAGTGGTGGAGCATGTTATGGAGGAGGGATGAGCAGCGGTAGTTTTGCTGGTGGGAACTATGGTGGGAGCATAGGAGGAGCTGGGAGCATAGGAGGAGGCCACCACATAGGAGGTGGTGGCAACATCTGCCATGGTGGTGGCATAGGTGGTGGTATTGGTGGTGGCATTGTTGGTGGGAGCATACCTGATTGTGGCTTTGATGGAGGCATAGTTTGTGGGGGTCCATTTGGTGGAGGCTTTGGGGGTGGTGCAGTTGGTGGAGGCTTTGGGGGTGGTGCAGTTGGTGGAGGCTTTGGGGGTAGTGCAGTTGGTGGAGGCTTTGGGGGTAGTGCAGTTGGTGGAGGTTTTGGGGGTGATGGCCTACTTTTCTGCTGTGATGAAAAGATAACCATGCAGAACCTTAATGACCGCCTGGCATCCTACCTGGACAAGGTGCGATGCCTGGAGGAAGAGAATGCTGAACTGGAGTGCAGGATCCGGGAGTGGTATGCAAAGCATGGCCACCACGGTGAGCCAAGGGACTATAGCTGCTACCTTAAGGAAATAGAAGATCTTCAAAACCAGGTAGGACCCCCTTTTTCAACTGTCTTCCCCACTGTAAAGATTTCTCTATGACTGTCTGCTCTGATCCTGATGTGGTATTCAGAGGTAATATTTCACTGTTTTAGACTGCTCTTTGCAGACACACACTATGGCAATTGGTTGCATAAAACTCCACATTGTGGCTTGTTAAGTCCAAGAATTCACTGGCAATGAACCATATTATTTGTTTTCTCGTGTCCAGATTATTTGGTCAAGTTTGTTTGAAGCTGTCTTAATAAATAGATGCCCAAAAAGAAAACTGAGTTCTTAATTAATGAATCCATCCAGTGTATCATCTGCTTCTGTACATCATCCTGGCATTGGTTTTCCAGATTTCTTATTTAAATATTCTTTCTATCTCCATAAAGTTTGTAGCTTTTTATAGACAGGGAAAATAAATCTAAATTAAAACTAAGTGAAAAAATTGCTTTGTCCCAATTAGTTTTGATGGCACAGATTTAATTAAAAACAAATTGTTTTGAAAACTCATTTTTGAGGAAATCTGGGAGAATCAGTTGGCTGGAAAAAACAAGATAGATAAACTCAGGGAGCAATAGAGAGAGACAATACATACTAGGAAATGAGGAAAACAGTGAAATGAAACATTACCGACCCTCTATGAATATTAGATTACAGTTAAAAATGTGAGGGGTGTTATTGCAGGGGTAGCTCTAGGTAGCAATAAGTGTAATGGCAAAATAGTTTGCCATGAAATTGTATGCTTTGTTAGGGATGTACTTGGTAGCCATGTTGGTCTGAGACAAAAAGAAATACAAAAATCTAGAACTCCTGGTTCCAAAATGATACCTTTTATTAACTGTGTTAATGCTGTGTTACACATGCATTCATTTTACATGCTTTCTTTCACATCGTTGTCTTGAAATCTTCCATGCCTTGTATTTGCCTGAGCTTGAAAAGTTATAAAAAATACATTTCTTTTAAGACCGGATAGAAGCACACTGGTCGAAATTTATGCTGTGCTACCCCATGTAAAACAGACAAGAGCCTGCTGGACTAAAAGCTTCCTATCCCATTTCTCTTCCAGATTGTTTGTGCTACCGTAGAAAACAACAAGATTGTCCTGAACATTGATAACAGCAGGATGGCGGCTGATGACTTCCGAGTGAAGTGAGTTCATTTCTGTGTTAGACAAACCCCGCTATTCTCCCCTTTTCACCAAATCCTACTTGTGAACCCCCAAGCAAAGAAATTCTCCAAGCAAGCGACACTGGGATTCTTAATTCAGGACACTTTTTTTTTTGGTGAAACTTCAAATAATTATTTTGCTTTTTGTTTCTAGGGAGCACCTGGCAAAATATTAAGGAGCAATGAAAGAGTTTGGGTGTAAGGTTTAGGCTTCTAAAAACAGAGGGGCAGATCTTCAGGGAGCACAGAAGGCCTTAGAAGAAAATGTGCTTTTGGAGATTTATGCTAGATAAGGGTCTGGCACAGAGAATTGTTTCTTAAGGAAGAAAGTGATTTTTAAAATTAGTAAATGATTTTTCCCCTGAGGGACCTGAGGAAGGGCACTTGATGCATGAAAGCTTGTCCAACAGCTCTCCCAACTATACAGTTGGTCCAATAAAAGATATCACAAAAACCCTTGCCTCTTTGAAAATACAGGAAGGCTGGTGGGTACACTCTCTGCTGTCGTGCCAGAAATGGGGGAGGCATAAAAACCTGAAGTAGTAGGGTTGTAGCTATGCTGGGTCAGGGAATATGAGAGAAGTGAGATTAGTTTTGTAATAAGAAGAAAATAAGTCTTTTATGCACCGGATGGCAAATCCCTGCTCTGCCCACCTAAAAAGGCTTATGTTACCTCAAGACCAGACATATAAAATTGAAAGCAGGGAGAAAGGAAGTGCTGGTCCTTTCACAAACACAATGCAAGTTGGCTGGCTCAGGCATTGACCTTTCCCTCTTTCTTGGCCATGATTTAGGTATGAGACTGAGCTGGCCCTTTGCCAGAGTGTGGAGGCTGATATTAATGGTTTACGCCAAGTCCTGGATCAGCTGACTCTCTGCAGATCTGACCTGGAGGCACAGCTTGAAGCCCTGAGGGAGGAGCTGTGCTGTCTGAAGAAGAACCATGAGGAGGTAGGATCTTGTCTTTCTTATTAGGCAGAAGAACCAGTTCATGCATTGTCTAGGAGAGTGGAGAGTCCAGACCGAGAAGGAAACTTCAGGGCAGTGGTATAGTTAACAAGACAATATTCCTAATGCCTAACCTGTGTTATGATCTTTGTCCTTTCACAAATCCTCTTCCCTACTCCACAGTGTAGAACTTTATGTAGAGTATACATTATTGTAAACATTTTGCCATCAATTGGCTGGCATTAATATTTCATAATTAACATAATTAAGAGACTACAGTTGTACCCTTGCTGTAAAAAAACGAGGCATCTAAAGAAGCAAAATGACTTCCATAAAGTTTGGAGTGCTCCAAATCCCTTAGAAACTGAATAGCAGATCTTGGAAGAATAAATTATGAACTTGCCTCTAACCACTGACATACACTTACTACTTTTCAAAGCTAAGAATGAAAGGAGAAATGTACTAAAGAGCTGACTTATTACAATGAACATGGGCTAGTAAATTACTTTTGTCACAGGTCTAAGACAAGGAAGCTCAGATGAGATCAGGAAGGTGAGTGGTTTTCATTCATCAAGCTGGATTTCTTTAGAGGGTGTAATGCCAGAAACTGCAGTGGAAAGAGGCAAGCAGAATTAAGCATAAAGAAAAGACACAATAAAAATGGTAGCTATATGGTTACAGCATAGACTGTGAAAAGAGCATAGTGACCAGATCATCTGCACTCCCACCTTTGATTTTGGTTTATAATGGAAAAGGTGCCTCAGGAATAGAAATTATGAATGCCAGAGTGGACCCAGATAGGCAGGTGTGTTCCTTCTACAAAGTTCAGCTCTCTGAGTTGTTTTATCCTTCTTAAAAAATACCTCCACCCCAATCAAAATCCAAAAGAACAGTGCTAGTCTGGGTTATTTTTTGCAGGAGATGAATTGTCTGAGGAACCAATCGACTGGAGATGTCAGTGTGGAGGTCAATACCTGTCCTGGTCCAGATCTGAAGCAAATCTTGGATGAAATGAGATGCCAGTATGAAGCTATCATTGCGCAGAACCGCAAAGAGGTTGAGGACTGGTATTCATGTAAGGTGTGTTACATGTACAGAGCTGTAACCATGTGTGCTAAGCATCCTTGAAGTACTTCAGAATCAGACACGTGCACTGAGAGATAATTCTTGCATAATGGGTCCTAACAGTGACCAGCATTGAACTTGTTTTGATGAAGTTGCACAGAGCCTGCAGGCTGGGCTAAGTAGCAAATGTGTCTGCGGTTGTGAGTGTTCATATTAGAATAACAAGCGAGTTGCAAGTTTAGAGTGTATTTTGTAGAGAGCTCACACAGCTTTTTTCCACCGACATTCTACACCAGGCATGCCTCTAATGGTCGGTATTCATCCAATCACCCTCATGGACAGTATCCATAGAGGTCATACCATTAGGTTTACCCTACCTTGGATTTTAAAAACTATTTAATGATCTGGGCTTGCATTTTTCAGATTGAGGAGGTGAATCGGGAGGTCATCTCAAGCAGTCAGGAAATAGAGTGTAGCAACAGCCAGGTCGCTGAACTGAGACGTCAATTACAGGCCTTGGAGATTGATTTGCAGGCCCAAGTTAGGATGGTAAGTGCTGGGGTGACCATCTACATCAAATCTATGACCAAGTCATGCCTGAATGCCTAGGGTGGTGGGTGATCAGTTCCAACTTGGCTCTCTACAGGCACTGGGGATTTGCATGGAGAATCTCTTAGCTCTTGCATTCAGTGCATGGTTCTAGCGCCTATGTGTGTTTGTGTCAATTCTTAGAGGGACAATCTGCAGTCCTCTCTGGCTGAAACCGAATCTCGCTACAACAGCCAGCTTGCCGAGTTACAGAACCAGATCATCTGTGTGGAGCAGCAGTTGGCTGAGCTGCGGGCAGAAATCGAGTGCCAGAACCAAGAGTACAAGGCCCTCCTGGATGTCAAATGCCGGCTGGAGCAGGAGATTCAGACTTATTGCTGCCTATTGGAAGGAGGACACCGGGAGTTTAGGTAGCCTATAAATGCCCCTGGGCATAGAGAAATATACTGGCACTGTAATGTGAGAGCTAGTAACATAAACTGCAAAGGAAACACCCTGAGTGGGGGAACTTGATGTGGTGGTTTCTGCAGTTCCATCCTTCTCACTGATCTGTTAGTAGCTTGGTCCAATTATCAAAATGTAGAGGGCCTAGAATTTTGACTACAAAAAGCATCCAAAGCTTGAGCCAAGCTTCATTCCTTCTGATGGGATCTGCAAAATGAGATACCTAATGAGAACAGGTGCCTGCCAGCCCTATAATTCATTCTGAATTTGGAAATGGCAGCCTGTAATAAATTCCTCATTTGTGGGTCAAGATAGTGGCGAGAATGACTTGCCTCCTAGTTGCATGCTTATGCGTTTGCACACTGGTTGCCTCAGTGAGGGAGCCGAGAGAAAGACAAGCCAAGATGTGTTGCCCAGGACTTGTTCCCCCAACTAGATTGGGAATGATTGAAGATGGACAATACCACATGGCTTTGCTGATGTCACAGTACTATGAACATTTCTAAGACTACTTTTTCCTTCACCATTCTTAATTAGCTCGAAAGGAGGGATTTCATCAGCAGGGATTTCATCAGCAGGGATTTCATCAGGAATCGGCCACTCTTCTGGTATAGGAGGAGGAGGAATCTGTAAATCCTCAGGTGGAATAATTGGAGGAGGAGGAATTGTGAAAACTATCCACACCCACTCTTCCTCTTCCCATTGCCTGCCCCCGCCTTGCCCACCTGGTGATATAAAAGGTAAGAACAATGATGTTATATAAAGGAAAAGCTTTGTTTAGTCCTCTTTTTCTCCTAAGGATAGGAGAGAACCTGTCAAATGCATCCTCTGTATGATGGTTTAGGACTGATATTGGTATTCTTCCAGAAGGTGTATGGGAGGGCACTGGAAAGCCTGGTCTAAACAGATGGCATTAGAGTGGTTATGGTACTGGGAGCACTGCCAGGAAATAGGGTCAACAGGATCAGCACTCAGCAGGAATTCTGTAACCATGAAGTGAGAAGGGGGAAAGGCCAAAACAGGGGTGGGGAGGAAGAAATTGTTGTGGAAGCAGAGACAGCCAGAGAGGACTTGTGGAAGGGGGTGGAAATGAAGAGTAGGGGGAGGGGAGGAATGGAAGGGAGCATGAGCGAGTTCCTTAAAACAGAGGAAGAAAAAAGAAACAAGAGAAGCTAGACCTTAGATTAATAGGGGGTGCACAAAGGCACCCTACTTGTTGCACTTTTCCATTACACAATCTTGGAAATGTTCTGGACCTTATCTGAATTTACAGCTCTCTAAGGATATGTCTTTACTGATGCTTAGTTCTAACCCCAAGCCTGGCCTTTAGCCCAAACTCACTACCTATGGTAGAAAGACTTTTTCAGTCTTCCCTCCTCTTGGAAATCTCCCGAGCACTGCAGCTCAAGGTTGAGCTTCCCTAAGCTCACTCCTTCCCAGCAGTGTTTTCAAAACTCACTGGGCTGAAGGCCAAATACACAGGATATCCATCAGCACCTGACTTCCTGCCCTTCTGTACCCTGCTGCCTATAATGAAAGCCTAGCACAGAAGGGGAGCCAAGTCCTTCTAGGTCTATGTCTGCTGAATACTTACCTGTCTTTTAGCATTTGCTGTACAGGGTAATATATAGAGAGAAAGGGAGATGCATGGGGTGTGGTCAATTATAGGAGACCCTTGGGAATGACCTAGTGTCTGCATCCACACCCCATTCTAGCAGAGTCCATCTGTGACATGGGCACACCTTATGGTCTGATGCTGCAGGAAAGTTCATTTGATTTTATTGCATTCAAATCAGGGTTCCTTTGATCTCTCTCCAGTGCCCTGCAGAAGGCTGCATGACTAAACCGAGAAACAAACCTTTTCTAAGATAAGACCTACAGAGCAGATCTGCAAACCGAGCAAGAACCTACCCACAACCTGCACTCCATGCCCAAGCCAAGAGCAATGAGAAAAAACTCCTTCCAACCACTCAGCAATGCTGATGCCATCTGCCCACAGGGGGGCTGTCAGAGCTGTGGGTCACCCTCCCCCCTATTGTGCTACATGCTTTTTCTATTCTGTCCTGCTCTGTGTGCCCAATCACAACTTACTTGAGTTAATTTGTGCTGAGGCTGGCCATTTACTTTCTGGTGAAAAAGTACCGCTAATAAAACTTTGCTTCTGCCTGATGCAATCAAGAAACCTGTGCCTGGTAAGCGATTTCCTTCAATAAGCTTTTGAGTGTCTCATGGTAGGACTGCAAATGGAAAATCATGCACTCAGATACATCTGCGAGACTGTGCAATAGTTCCTGAGAGGGAGTAGTAGGTGTCACATGAGGCATCTAAAACTGGATTGACAAGTAAACTGAAGGGGAACACCCTGCCTTTGACCAATGGGTATGTGGAGAATGGCCTGGCTGACCTTGTGGGTCTTTTCCAGCCCCAACTTCAGTGATTATATATGGATACTTCCTGATACTATATGATCCATAAATGTGCATAGATTGTGTCTACCATCCATGTCAGCAGGTGTCTCTGGGTTTCTGACACAACAGTCTGCATCATTTTAGTTTTAAGATATGAACTGGGTACATCTGAAAGTGTATGATTGTCAGACATGGAGGTGGACCTCCTCAGTTTCACCCAAGGAGATCTACATCACAGGCACCTGTAGTATTGGCCTTTCACATGCTGAAACCAAGAAATGGTCTTTAAGTCAAACTTGATTTGTAGGAAGCATCATAGATAGTCCTTTATCTGAATGGTGAATGCAAGACCAGAAGTTTCCTATCACTCTGTTCCTGACTTTGGGAGACCCAAGTGCCAACCCAGTCTGAGTTTTATGAGATCTTGACTACCATGAGCAGGATGTTACAAAGATGCAAACACCTGCTCAGATTCAGCCTAATGGACAAAGCTAAAAACAGACAAAATAATTTATAACCCAGAATGATTGCTAAGTACAAACACAGAAATAAAATTTGAAAAAGAAACCCTGACAGCCTGCAGTTCAGAAAGTTCAAGCTATTTGAATAAAAAGATGGCGAAGAAGAGACTTCTCATGGTCTGTAAATACACAGGGGAAAAGATTTCTGTTAAATTTCTGGTTTTATTTAATCAGCAGTCAAAACATCAATTATCTGCAGGGGCTGACGCTAGTAGATAAAGGCAGACTGCAAATTAGGGGCTCCTATACACATGCAGAGAGCTTGCTCCAATGTGCTATAATTCCAGTGTGTTGGAACAGACTCCTTTAATCAAGCCTGCTGGAGCGTGGCAATTAACACTCTCCAGCAGACTCCCATATCATGTGTATCACCATCCCCATGTTGAAAAATGTCAGCAGGGCGCTTTAAACTAAAGCTCATTTGACGAGCTTTAATTCAAAGTGCCCCATTGCCATTTTTCAGCATGAAGATGCTGATACATGTGATGCTCTAGGTGCTTTTAAATAGCATGGGTCTTGGAGCTGCGCTAATGAAAGCACGCCTCCCCCCCCACACACACCTCCTGGAGCACATGTATAAATGCCCTAAGTGCCCTTTTTCAACAGATTAGAGTAATTAGCCATTGAAACAAGTGGCCTGGTCATGCAGTGGAATTTCCATCACTTGAAATCTTTAAATCAAGACTCTGTTGCGTCCTCCAAGTTTGGCACTGACTCTACGAGAAGTCCTTCATTCATTGCAGGAATCTCTGTAGATGCATATACCTTTTGGGCCTTAAAAATCCATGAATCAATGTGGAAGCAGACTAGAACAGCTCAACGTTTTTAGCCGTATGGCTGCCCTTCAGAACTTCTTGGAATTTCATGGTACTCGGCTGAGAAACAATGAGCTAGAATCTAACTGTTGCCACATGAAGGCAGTGGGGCAGGACCTCATCCTACTGCGCCTGTTTTTCTCACAGTCTGCCCCTTCCCTGCCATGGTCTGCATCTGAAGGGGCAAATGCAGCCCCTGTGCTACGACTTCTTCTCCAGCAACTCCCATGTCAGCAACTGGAATCACATGAACCTGTGGCCCCCCCTGCTGGCTTCAGGAGTATGGGAATGGTGGGGTGATGACCTGGGCTAAAAAGTATGGCCCCATGTCCACCTGTTTGCATGCCTATTCACAGCAGGGCATGCTGCTTGGAATGCTGGGGCTGTTGGGGTGGGGAAAGCAGCCATGAGCACTACTCATCTGCAAGTATACTGGGGCATCTGGTGCCTGGCAGGAGGTGGAGTGACCACTTTCCTATTAGCAGAGGGGCTGGGTGCTGCAGCATCCTTGGAAGGGTGTCATGGCACCCTGGTTGAGAATCACTGAATCAGATACAGAATTATTTTTATACGACTGGGTGATTTATTGCTACATCATCCCATACTCAAATATTATTTAAGATTTCTACAAACCATGCCACTCATAATGTATGGCCCAATCTCTACTCTGTTACATTGGGTTTACCTGGGTATCATAACATAGACCTCAGTCAATTTACATAATCAGAAAACTGGCATCACAGAGGATAGATTCAGGCCTTTAATTCCTGTCTCAATTTATAAATTAATAAAGCGACTTGAATATCGTTTGGAAAATGTTTCTACCACTCAGCTTGTGACGGGGTGACTGGCATGTTGGCAGAGAACCGAGCCCTGCAAGGTTTGCACAGTCTTCTTGGGTAGATAGAGTGCCTCCCATGTTATTCTTTCATCGACAGTCTAACAGAAAAAAAACCCTTTAGAGTCACTTTGGGATTATGACAGATGAGCTAACAGGACCAGGAATTACTACCAGCCAGCACAAGCGACACCTACAGGGAGGAAGCAGGCAATGCTTGAGAGAAGCTAGTTTTATAGTATATGCAGCATGCTCTCAGTCCCATAGAGATAGAAGTGTGGCCTAGAAATTAAGATATATTTATAATACAGAAACAGCTCTCCCTATGGAAGAAAACAAAACCTCATTTGGAACAGCCCAGGATTCCTTCTGGTTTTATTCTCTCTAAGATTGACAAGTCTGGCTAGAGAGCAGAGATTCATACTTTTGTAATGCACGTGATTGCATTACCTATGTATTTGTCTATATATAAAGGGATTAGTCCATCTGTCTGTGTGTCTGTCTGTGTCTGTCTGTCCATAATGCTCATTAAAGGCAGCAGCAGCAGGCAGGGGGCATGGCTCCAGCCAGTGATTCAAGCAGGGGGGTGGCAGGTGGCTGGACACCAAGTGGCGGCAGCATGGGGCAGTGGGTGGTGGTGGCAGTCGCTGCATGCAAGCTTCCCACCCCCCACGTGTGGCCAGCACCTGTGTGGCCTGCAAAGTGGTGCTGCTGGCCTCATCCCTCCCTCTTCCCCCTCTCCCCCTAGCCCTGCTCCTGGGAGGTGGCAGCACAGGGTGGTGGGTGGCTGTACTCCATCTCTGCCTGGCTGCACGTATCCCCTAGGACCGTCGCAAGTACCCCTGGGGCATCCAAGAGAAGTAAGAAGATAACCAAAAACTGCAAGCTGTGAACATGTCCCACCAACAGACAAAGCAGTCCAGGTCTAGCCTTAAGTGCTTCCTATAGACTCCTGAGCTGTACAAAGTAGTATGTTCTAGTGGTGGCCTCTAGTGGCTGGTTCCAACCACATGGAAAATATCAAATGGTTAAGACAGAAATTTCCATCTGAGTGGGTGTGTCTACACATGCATTTATGCAAGCAGGAATAGGTCAGCATCTACACATGCAGGCATTAAAGTGCATAAATACTGTGTGTAGACTGACTTGGGACTAAAGTTCATCCCAAATCAGTCCACACACACAGTGTTACTGTGTAGTAAAGTGTCTTCACAAGCATTACTACACAATAACTAATCAGGTGTATATTTGATACCTGGATGATGCAGGTATCAAATTTTCACTCAAGTTGGCATCAGTCGCCATATTTACTGTGCAGTATGGGCATGCATGTCTACACGTGTGGCCGTACTGTGCAGTAATTTCAGTTACTGCGCAGTAAATACGCACATGTAGATGCACCCAGTATGTTCAGGTCAGTTTCTGGTTGAAGTGTGTGTGGGAGGAGAAGAGGCTAATGGTGAAGTTACACCTGCCTTTTAAAATCATGCAGCATCTGATACCTCCTTGTTCTAAAACTCATACGCTTTTTGTATTTATGTACTTCACTGCCATATATGATTACTTTTCCACCCCAAGGAGTCTGTGCTCTGCCCCACTGCCCACACAATAGTTAGGTAAACCTTGAAAACATTTTTGGAGAGTTTTACATTTTTGTCTCCTCTTGCTTACTTTTTCCCTGAAGGTGTTAGTTTCACCAGCAGAGAATTTGGACTGGAGGAGCTGTAAAAATTCACATGAAGAAAAATCTGACTTGGCTTCTCCTTGTAGAAAAACCTCTAGTAGTTTTCCATTAAATTGTCCCCTGTTTTACAGAAAGAAGCAGAGCTGAGTTTCCAGCCAAAATGATAAACAGCAGATTAACCTGAAATTCAAGTGCAATTGTTTATCATTTGTTCTATGGAGGAATTTCATTAATTTTTTTAGGACAATATGTTTGCTGTGTAGAAAAGGCCAAAATGGTGCTTTTACCAAATTTAATAGGCAGAACCCAGAGGTGTAACTTGAAGTGTTGGCGCCCTGGATGGAGTGAGGGGGGGAGTGGGACTCCTTGCACAGTGGTGAAGTGGTGCAGGCTGCTGATTCCTCAGTAAAAGCTCTCTGAACACAGATTGCTTCTGCAGTGATGGCAGGGACCCCCTTGGGGCTGCCAATTTGGTGCTGCCTCTGAATTGGTGCCTCTCTGGACTGATGTCCTGTTTGCACGTTCCATGTTAACATGAGCGGCAGAACCAAATGAAGCTATAAAGGGAAAGGGTCATCATACCATCTGGTGAAAAACTCAGTCTGTTGAGATGTATTTTCCTTTTTATTACAGGCTTTTCCACCCCCTGCTCTCATGCTGAACTAGCCCAAGCAACGAGGGAAATGCAGAACCAGAGAGAGACATGGCTATGCACAATGCTGATTAAAGAAGGGGAGAAGGTTTTACCAGAAGTGGGTAGTGAGTTGTAGAGCAAATTTTGCTTTGATAGTTCCAAGGGTGTAGCAGTTGCTGTTATAACAAAAAGTTAATGCTAATAGCTTAAATGAATTGAATCAAATAATTTAATGATACATAATATACTACAACTCCAACTGTTCCCCAGATTTCTGTGGAC